TGTGTGTCCAAGCCACCTTATTAATATGACAAGAATGAAACTACAATAAGATAAAACACAAGACAAAATGTGTTATGACTACATGATGGGGTATGAGAAGTTTACCTTGCTCCATAAGCTTCACCTCTTAGGGGATGATCGATTGGCCAATCCCTGTCTGGACGTTGGGCCGGTGCAAGCCATGGCATATGCTCCCAAGCCCAAAATTGGACGATGAACATTGCGCCGCCAACCTCCCTCATGGCTTTGTTCGACGCATTGCACAAGTTGTTGTAGATGATAGCTAGGCAAGCGGATGCCCAACTATACTCCCCCATCTCCTCCCAACTACTGAAGATGATCCTAAGCCATCCACAACTAAGGAGATTGCTTGATTTCTTGGAGAAGAACACTCCTCCGATCATGCCTATGAGATAGACACGAGCATATCTCTCCTTCTCATCCTCCGGACTTTCCTCGGTTAGGGGGTGACTCTCGTAATGCTCTCTAAAATACTTCGTCAACCATGTAATTGAGACTTGGTGTTTCCTCATTGGTGGCATGCGATCGGTCGCATCAACGCAACCCTTCACCGGTACTTTCACTCCCAAATGACTGTGGATGAAATGATGCCAACCTGGCATACCGTCACAATCCTCGGGGGGATGATCACTCACGCACACCGGTTTGCCGTCGATGGGCAGATGGGTTAGGATGGCGACATCCTTTAGCGTGATGGTGGCCTCTCCTTCTCTAAAGTTGAAACAATGGGTCTCCTTTCTCCATCTCTCGGCTAATGCGGTGATGAGTTGGCGATCGATTTGGATGCCGTTAAAATGCCTAATCGAGTCTAACCGTGCCCTTTTGAGAAATGGCAAGATAGCTGGGTGGAATGGGAGCACATTGGTGGTACCCCTATAGCGGATTATTGTTTGTGAGCCCTAGCAAAAATGTACACGTTAATTATTATTAGTAAGGGTTTTTTTTCGTATAACTAAATTAATTAAATTAAATTATGCGACATAAAACATAATTTTATTATCATAAAAAGACATTTCATATTATCATAAAACAAACGTCCTAAATTAATTAACATAATAACATTGTCAATGAATGATAATTTAAAGAGGTACATACATATTATCGTAAAACAAACATACTAAATTAATTAACATAAATAACATTGTCAATGAATACTAATTTAAAGAGGTACATACATATTATCGTAAAACAAACATACTAAATTAATTAACATAAATAACATTGTTAATGAATAATAATTTAAGTAGAAACATACATATTCAAATGTTTGGTAAATAATTTAATCGTATTAGTTGTTTTAAATAATTTAATCGAATACAAAGCAACACTCGTTAGACTCTTAGAAGAGGTATACATCTTCTTAGAAACGCAGTCTTTTTGACAGAAAAAGGGGGGATCCGATGATCTCTTAATACCTGATTTTCCCAGTTAATGGGAGGATATGATAATCGCTTAAAACCCCATTTCCTTAGACGTGCATCTCTTTATAAAGAGTCGAAGTAAGTGGCGCTATGTATTCGATTAAATTATTGAAAACAACCAACACGATTAAAAAATAAACATAAATTAATTTTATATTACACTAGGCACATTAACAAAATAAAAGAAGGACAAATGGTGAAGAATTGTATGTACCGGGTGATCGTTCCAAACATCCCTTGACCGATGGTTGGGTTGGTCGTACAAGTCGGTTGGATCCACCGGTCCTTGCTCGAGATAATACCGTTGGTTGTATATATCGACGTCCTCCCCAACCTACGAGAAAATAACAACGAGGTTAGTACATAGATTAATTAAAAAACTTATAACAACAACAAAAATTAAACCAAAATAATGAGTACATACCGCTTGAAATTCATCAACATAAGCTCCTTCTCCTTGCCACCAATCGGCCATTATTTCGGCGTAATTCGGACAGAGCTTCGGCTCGACTCGGAGGGTTTTGAGGAAAAAACCTAAGAAATGTTTTCTGATGGCAGATCGGACTTAGCCGCAACCAACAGACCACTATTTCCTAGGCTTTTGGGAGGGGAGGGTTTAGAGAGATAAATTGTAGAGAGAGGAGGAAGAATGGGTTGTGGTGTGAAGAAATGAGAGGGGGAGGGGGGTATTTATACCCATCAGACCACACCCCCCAGGGGCGGTCTTGTAATTTTGCACTAACAGAAACCGCTCCCTCCCGCTGCGGTTTACGTTTCCCTAGGTTTGACCGCATCTCGGGCGTGCGGTCTGGGTGGCTTGGCGCGGATCGCTCCGCTGGCAGGCGGTCTACCGTCAGATCGCCTCACCATCTGACGGTCTTGAAGACCGTTCCGCAGCTGGCGTGGATCGCTGCGTTGGCCTGCGTTTTGTAATGGGGACCGCACCTGCACGATGCGGTTTATAAGTAAACCGCATCCTTCACGTGCGTTTCACCTATAAAACGCATCGTGCAGGTGCGGTCCAAAAAAATAGGTGCTATTTCTGTCTTTTTTTTCATATGTGTGCTAGTTTTATAAATTTTTTTTTAGGGTGCTATTATTGGAAAAAACTCCCAACACTAGGGCTGGAAGTTTGGTTCCAACATTTGGGATATACCGAATACCGTACCGAACTTATCACTATTTTGTATTACCGAATATCGATTTATTTATTAGGGATCGGGATTGAGATTCATTTTGGAGTGCTATTCGGTATTCGGGATTACGGGATTGGGATCAGTATATACCAAAATACTGAGAAACAGCAAAAGTTAAAAATTAATGAAATATAGCACACAACTTTTGGTCATTCCCCACTCTTTCATAACTCCCAAGTCCACATCCAACTCAATTTGGGCTTTTCAGTTTAAGTCACTCTCGTCTCTTATCTAATCTCTTGTTATTTTCATAATGGGTTAAAGACACATTTGGTCACTGAGATTACAAAATCGGGACATGTTTAGTCACTAGAAAAATTTAATATCAAATTTGGTCACTACAATTACTAAAACTGGACGCATTTAGTCACTCGCCGTTAGTCTCCGTCCAACTCCGTTAATGAAGTCCGTTAAGTGCTGATGTGGCAAACAGAATTGCCTAATCAGCCGGATATTAACCCAACAAAAATAAAACCCGACCCGCCACGTCATTATAACCCGCCACCTCATTAAAACCAACCCAACCCAACCCAACCCTACCCAACCCTTCTTCCTCCTTCCTCCCCTACCCAATTTAGGATTTTCCCCATTAATCTGCCGGCCGCCCTTCCTTCATCTTCTTGAGGAATGTGGATTCCTTCTGTCAGGTGGTTTTGTTTTCGGGGGAAGTTGATTGCTTGATTGATGGATCTGAAACTAGGGTTTTGATTTTGGTGGGTGTGGGAGTGGAAGTGGAATTGAGCTGCTGCTTCTTGTCTTTCTTCTTGAGGAGCTGAGCAGTATCAGCTGTGGAATTGGTGGGCTTCTTCTTCGTGGTGAGTAGAGAATCGCTACTGCTGATGGCCTTGGACTTGGTGGGTGATGTTGATTTAGTAGAGTTGGAGGATTTGGTGGTAATAAGTTTGGTCTGGTTCTTCTTACCACTCGAAGAAGAAGAAGAAGACAGAGTATCTCCGATAGCAGCAGAGTTGGTAGTAGTCTTCTTGGTGAGTTTCATGGTCTGATTCTTGTTAGCAGAGGGAATGGTAGATTTAGAAAGCTTGGTGCTTGGTGTTGCTTGTGATGATGATAGGCTGCTGCTGCTGCTCTTTTTCTTGGGCAGTTGTGGTTGCTCATCGTCGTCATCGCTGTCTAAGGAAGAGGCAGAGAGGAAGAGGGGGGAGGTGAACAAGAAGAAGAAGAAGGAGAGCAAGAGTAGCTTCCTGAATCTCGCCATTGATGGTGGCTGCTAAAGTGCGTGGCAAGTAGTTTGATTGGAAATGGGGAGTGAATGAAATCTGGGTGGGTTTTGGAGCTGGGAATGAAAGAAGAGAAGAAGATCCAATATTTCGGTGTTGGAACCGACACAGATCCACCACTTTTAAGTGGCAGAAAGGAAAAGAAGGTGATCGGATCTGATCTGGGAGAGAGTGGAAGTGGGGGAATATGAATGGAAGTGGGAAATATGGAAGAGCAGCAGGCAGCAGCGGAGCAGGGTCACATGGATGGACTAGCAAGAAGCAAGTAGCAAGAACCAAAGAGCATGCCTGACAGAAGGAATCTACATTCCTCAAGAAGATGAAGGAAGGGCGGCCGGCAGATTAATGGGGAAAACCCTAAATTGGGTTGGGGAGGAAGGAGGAAGAAGGGTTGGGTAGGGTTGGGTGATGGGTTGGGTTGGGTTGGTTTTAATGAGGTGGCGGGTTATAATGACGTGGCGGGTCGGGTTTTATTTTTGTTGGGTTAATATCCGGCTGATTAGGCAATTCTGTTTGCCACATCAGCACTTAACGGACTTCATTAACGGAGTTGGACGGAGACTAACGGCGAGTGACTAAATGCGTCCAATTTTAGTAATTGTAGTGACCAAATTTGATATTAAATTTTTCTAGTGACTAAACATGTCCCGATTTTGTAATTTCAGTGACCAAATGTGTCTTTAACCCTTTTCATAATATAAAAAGAAAACGCTAGTATTCTTTGTCTCTCAGCCCCCAATTCGTCAAATTAAAGATTTCCAATGACAAGAACTTGAGTTGTCACCTCTACTCCCTTCTTTCTATCGATGTCCTAGCTCTAGGAAAATTCAAAACTCTTTACTTAGTCTCTTTGCCCTACTCTCTTTGTCGAATAAAAATCAAATCTAATTTATATATTTACTCGTTAATTACAAAGGTAATTAATTTTTTATTCGATAATACCGATTGAGATACTGAAATATTTAGGGATTGAGATTTGGATTGTTATTAAAAGGTAATTTGATATTCAGAATTTCAGTATTTGATATTGAGAAACCGATACCGTACCGATATCCACCCCTAACCAACACATCACAATGCTCTTCTCAAACTCAAGGCCTCAACAATAACCGGACCGGATTTGGGTAAGCTATTCCGCAAGCCCAATCCGAGTCCCGGCCCAAGTCTCACCGGCATTTCTTTGCAGCTTGCAGCAACGTGACGGGAAATACGGAAGCTCCCAGAAGCAGGAGCTGGGGATCATCTTCTTCTCCCGCTTAAACCCTAAACCCTTCCACTCGTTTCACTGCTCTATCTGCCTCTCCTACTGTAAAATAATCGGAATGGCACTAACTCGACATCTGAGGAAAATCCTTCCATCATCTCCTAAATCCCTACCTTTCTCCCAACAAGTTCTCGAACAATGCCACCGCCCACAAAACCCCAATTCGATTCTCGCTGGACTAATTCAATCCAACGCATTGGGCATCTCGCGAACCCCCCACACCAGAACTTATATGTCCGAAATGCGCAAATCCGCCTTCCAGGACAAAATGCTCAGGCTTCTGAGGAACGAGATTCAGTACGAGCTCGATCACTTCCCCCCAAAGCAGGTAAATTTCCATCCACTTTCCCTTCTTCGTCTCTGATATCGATTTTGTTGCTATATGGTGCGTAGAAAATTGTATGTTCTGTTTAATGGGTGATTCGTGAAGTATGGGAAATGGAAAGTTACTGCCCTGTAACGCGACATTTGTAGGATTTTGGGTTCAGAGTTATGTCATCTGTTTATCTGGGATATTGATATCTGCATTCAGATATGGATGCTGAATTTTGACAGCTCCTTGATTTTGGGTTTGGTAGTTAGGTCTCATGAACTTTGTAGTTTGGTTGAGTGACTTTTACTAAAGAATAGTGTTTGAATATGTAAAGTGCTCTAAAGTCGATGCGGCTTAGCTGGTTTATGACTTTTGCGTGCTCTCCCTAGGAGGCTAAATATGTTTCTGTTGTCTTATTAACCTAAGATGAGAAATAGCTAAGTAGTTACAGCAAAAGATACGGTCTTTCTGATTATAACAGAAAGAGATATGGGCAACGTGGGTGCAACAGAGAGTAAGCAAGAAATATTAGCAGAGTTATCATGAGTCCAATGTTCACCTGTAGTGTGTTCATATACTTGGGACTTAGAAGCATGATTGATGTTGAACAAATTCTTGTGGTAAGTAAAACTCAGATATTGAAGCCCACAATCAATCTGGTGATACATACAGGGATCAGAGAATGCTGAAGGGGAATTAGTAGCACTTTGAATGATGTGATCAGTGGTGTAGGGGGTGGATAGATTTAGCTGATACACCCAATTTGAGGAGGAGATCCATAATTTATTTGTGCTGGCTGAGGAGAAGATATGATGAACCTCAATGCCTTGGAAATAAGATAGACAACTGAGGTTAGGTGAGACTTAGTGAGAGGGAAGAAAACCTAGGAGGGACCAAAGATGATGATAATGTCATCGACATAATGAGCATATCGAATCGAATGGAACCAGCTTTGTAGGTGAATAAGGAGGGATCTATGTGAGATGCAGAGAGGCCAATTTCGGTGAGAGCAGTTGCCAGACACTGAAACCAATCTCTAGGAGCTTGATGAAGACCACAGATAGATTCTGGAGGCGATGATGGAGATTAATGAAACCAGGAGGTTGCTTCATGTAGACTTCTTGGATGGTGGTGCCGTGTAAAATGGCATTGGAGAATGGAGATGCCAACTTGATGGAGAACCAATATTTATTTTCAAATCTTGACCCCTAGTTTCAGTTTGTTTAATTGTTGATTCCTGCTGTTATTTTGTTCAAACTAGATGTTTGTGCTTGATACAATATTGTTATAACATCATATAAACAATTCTAAAGTGATATGTGCGATGGAGCTTTGGTGTCAGTAGCTGATTGTTTAAGGTGGGTTGTACTCAGGCTAGTTGGTTGAAGATGCAGCACAATATGGTTATTTTACTTATTTCTTCCCAACACTTAGGTTTTTGTCTGAGATATCTCGACGTTATTATTTTCATAAGTGACACCTGAAAATTTTGGTTATGGTTACTCAAATGCAGGGTTTTCCATAATTTGTTGTGCTTGGGAGGTGCAATAGCATGGTTCTGACTCTTGAGAAATGTGTATCCAGAAGTTAAATTCCTCTTTTAAACTGTATCAAGCTATTTGAGTTTGCTTTGCAACTTGTGTTGTGCTAATTTGCGAACAGAATATCTCTCTGATGACTGTCTATTTCTGAAAACCTTAACGTTCTGGAACCAAATCTCAGCTCTTGTGTTCTAATTCTAGCTTTCAACAATAACTTTGCAGCCTGTAACCAGTTTTGGCCCGTTCATCCTGGTTGACAAACCAGGGGAGCAATGGATTAGGCTGAAGAGGACATTTTCTGCAGATGAAGATATCAAAGTTGAAGCAAGCATGTTTGATGCTGCTATACCGGCTCCAAAATCAAGTGGTGTTGACTCGAAGGAAAATGTTCAACTTCACATCACTATGGTTGTCAATATATCTAAGCCTGGGGATGATGATGTTCTAGAGATAATGTGCTCTGCCTGGCCAGATACCATTGAAATTACAAAAGTCTTCATACGGAGCACGAAGAATATGCCAGCAAAGCCTTATGTTGGTCCTGATTTCAAGTATGTACGATAACCGTCTTTGTTATTCTTTTGAATATCTTCCATGCTTTCTCTCTCTCTTGCTTCTCGTGTTGGTGATGGTCGGCTGACTTTGTCACAGGGAATTGGATGATGAGCTTCAAGACTCGCTTTACGAGTTCTTGGAGGCAAGGGGCATCGGCGATGAGATTGCAGTTTTCTTGCATGAATATGTGAAGAACAAAGGTAAAACAGAATACATCAGGTGGATGGATACTGTGAAGTCATACATGGAGAAGTCCTAGAGCCGATCAATCCTTAGTAGGTCTATAGAGTTGGTTCAGTTGCAGATTTGTCTTTTGTTTTCGCTGTCCAATCGCGTGATGACTTTGTACTATCGAATCAACTGCTCTTTGTAAGTTTCCTGCTATTTGTTTTGAGGAGTCTAGCTCCAACATTCAAATTCGAGCCATTGGTATAGCACTGCCGAAGTAAATATGACCAGTTACAGTTAAAACACAGCATTGCTTGTATTCAATAAGCTGTATGAATATATGACTCTTGAGAAAGACTACAATTTTTGGGTTTCTTTTGATGCAACTGAGCAGTCACAGACGAACCCTTTTTGAATTTGCATGCGTTCGGGGTTGATGTAATGTTTTTATTTAAGGTGGAAGTCAATTCTGGAGATGCTGAATCAGAAGTGACAGGAAGCAGATTTTTACTGTTTGTATGATCATCCGTGTGTTAGCATTGTTTGAAAAGCAGGGGACTGTTTAGAAGTTGAAATTGTAATGACCAAGTTAGGGGTGGATGCATTATTGTTGGCATTTTGTATGGTCTCACGTCTCAGTGTTGAACTGAGCTCTCACCTCACCCGGCCTGCCTTTGATGTCAACAATACTATGGTGTTGACAACCAACCAAAGGGCCACTGCCAAAATGTCAAGATGTTTCTGACCTTATCAGCAAGCAATTGCTCTTGTTTGTATCAAAATGAACATTGACATATCATCGTCATCTTGAAGTATCTGCGGATGCAATGGAATCAGACAAATATTTGGTCTTGAAGATCTGCCACAGATCTTATGTATCAATAAAATAATTAAGGCAGTGTATGATTTCTTTGGCCTTTTGCATTCTTACTCATTCCCATTTTCTAATTGTGCCTCTTTTCTATGATGAGGAAGCTTCGTCCGAACATGTAGTAGGACCGGACCGATACTTTCGAATTTAATGCAAGTTCCTTAAGGAATTGGTTTGAACTAAACCATGGCAGGCAGCTAATCTAACTCCAAACATAAACTGACCAAGGATTGAAATACCGTGTCGGACGTCGTACCGAAAAAGTTAGTGGTAAGATATTTTATGATAAAATCGTCGTTTAACCATGGTTCAACTGTAATATACTGCTAATTACCGCCTACCGATTTTGCTTCCGGTATAAGAGTTTTCTTTAGGGATGACAACAAAACCCGAACCCACGGGTACACACCCGACCCAACCCGGTCAACGCGGGTAAAATCCGTGTTGACGGGTTTTAGGCCGGGTTTGGGTTTAAACCCGTTCACTATTCACCGGGTTGGGTTGGGTTTGGGTTTAGGTAAACCCGGCCCTTGGGTACCCGCCCACCCATATAATTAATTTTTTTGGGTATATTTAATATTCTAAACAACTAATCTTATTTATGTTTGTGGAGACATGTCTAATTTTTTCTTTTTAATTGTGTAGAATGAAGTTAATGTTATGGAGTGGAGAGTAAAGAAACTTAATTGAAAGGAAGAAGCTTTCAATTAAATATGTTATTTATGGATAATTTGTGATTTGCTTCAACTTTCTTGAGTTTTCTAGATTGGTGTTGAACAATTTGTATAGTTAATTTGTGATTTGCTTGAATTTTCTAGAATGATGTTTTATATATGGATAATTTGTATTGAGAGATTGATATTTGACTTTAATTTTGATAAGAACTTGTAATTGTAAATTTTTTACGACAAAACCCGTGGGTACCCATGAACCCGCGGATACCCAACGGGTTGGGTTGGGTTTGAGTTTTTCAAACCCAGTAGGTTTTACCCCGGATTTTTTTCAAAGATAAACCCATGGGTTTGGGTTTGACAAAACCCGACCCAACCCGACTCATTGCCATCTCTAGTTTTCTTGTCGAACTGTCGGTACGTTACAGTATTTTAATCCTTGAAACTAACACCAAACGTAATCTAACTGCACTGCGCATTATTTGTACGATTAAAAGTGGAAGGCCAAAACACTGCATGCCAAAGCAAACAGAGTCGTGTATGGACTTGTCCTTAATTCAAGCCTTGAACTCAGAGGATCGACTTCACATAGAAGAAGATGTGATACACTAGGGGTGGTCAAATGATTATTATGGTAATTACCAAACCAAATAAGTCTAAATTCTATTAATCATGAAATATAATATTATAATCAAACCGTTCAAAGTAATATAACAATCAAATTAAACATACTAAAGTTTATTTGGTTTGGTTAATTGAATAACCAAAATAAAACATAACATCAAATTATCATTAACTGAGAAGAATTTCCGGTTAGTGCATCAATTTACAATTTATATGATGAATAACACATAACAATCAATACATAATAATAGTTAACCCTTAACATAAATACATGTAACAAATACAATTATCTTACATTTAACTCTTGAGTAGTTATATAAAGTATCAAGTATGTGTATAGAATATATATTAGATATGAGCACTTCTACTATGCTCTAAAGTATGGGTGCTTTAATGTACAACATGAAGTTGTACCATAACGTTAAATGTATAAGTTTAGGTTGTACCATAAAGGAATTTGTACCCTTATGTTATGGTACAACTTTACAACTTAAAGTTGTATCATCACATAAATGTACAAGTTCAAGTTGTACCATGAAAGAATTTGTACAAAAGAGTATAGGTACAATCTAAAGTTGTACCATAACGTTAAAGGTATAACTTCAAGTTATACCATAAAGGAAAAAACCTATAGCACCAATGTTATATAGCATAGTAAAATTCCCCATTAGATATATGACTAATTATTTAACTGGTTAATTTGATTCGATTGGTTAGAAGTGTCTGAAACAAACCAAAACCACCTAAACCAAAAAAGTTAAAAAATTTAACCAAACCAAACTAATTATTCATATTAAACAAACCAAATTATCCAAATACTACCGGTTAAAATGATTTCCACGACAACTACTACGTTTGAACACCTCTCGATACACCCACCGATCTTGAGTGTCTGTTTGTGATTGAGAATAGCAAAGCAATAACGAGAATTAGCAAAAACATGTGATTTAGAGAGAATGGGGGACCATTGGGTTCTCAATAATCCAAATTCTTTAGCTTTATTCGGATAACTAATAAAATGAATTATCCCTTTCTTCTATTTTAACTATATAAAAAAATTCCATTACACCCTTTAATTGTATACATATATAACTAATGAAAAAGTGTTACTATTTACTAGAAAAAACAACTTAATACCATATCGATTAATTTCCAAAAGTGGTTGCGATTTAGAAGACTAAATTAATCATGTTATGATAGAAACCCTGTTGATCTAAGACGTTTAGATAGGGTTACGGAATTGTGGATAGATCAATGATTAGGGATTTGATAGAATAGGATCGGATTGGGAAGAATTAGGGATTTAGGATAGGATTGGGGAGTGGGATGGAGAATTTGGGGAAGAAGAAGAAAATAATAAGAATCGGCCGAAGCCATGGATTATGGGAGAAGAGAAATTAGGAGATAAAGAGAGCTTGGGATTTGTGAGATTTTTCCATAAATAGCACCTTTAAAAAAAAAAATTACAAAACTAGCACCCTCCCAAAAATATTTACAAAACTCGCACCCTTTTTTATTGACCGCACCCTTGTAATGCGTTTTACATATAAAACGCATCCTCCAGGTGCGTTTTATATGTAAACCGCACCTGGAGGGTGCGTTCTATTCTGGTGGGTCTAAACCGCACCTTGGCCATGCGTTTTCATGTCTGGCCTACATAAAACGCATGGCCGAGGTACGGTTTAGGCCTGACCTACCTAAACCGCACCTTAGTGATGCGTTTTATTCCTCCAAGAACAAACCGCATCTCTAAGGTGCGGTTTGACCATGTAGACCGCACCTCCCAAGTGCGGTTTACGTGTCAATAATTTTCCGACACCCGACACAGCCATGCAGAGAATTATGGACGTAGGGCTGCATGCAGACTAAAACCGCACCCTAGAGGTGCGGTTTTCACAATTTTTTCCCCTATATAAGACTTGCCGGAAAACCTCTACTCTTCACACTTCTCATTCTCTCTTTCATTTTTCTGTTGTATATCTATATTTATTTAGTGTGTTTGCCATTAAGATTAACTCGTAAGTTTATTTTGTGTTACTTTTTATGCCATTAACATTAACTCGTAAGTTTATTTTTTGTTACTTTTTATGCCATTAACATTAACTCGTAACTTTATTTTGTGTTACTTTTTATGCCATTAACATTAACTCGTAACTTTATTTTGTGTTACTTTTTATTGTTATTTGTGATTTGTGATTTTTATGATATTAACTAAACTACGGTTTGTTTGTGTGCAGATGGCATTCCGTCAGTTAACGCTTGGCTTACGGTGGAATGGTTACACGGAAGAGACCGGAAAGGGGGCCACCTACGTCGGTGGCAATTTTCAGAAAATAACGGTCGGTACCAGACCGAAGCTTGAAGACCTCCATCAAATATGCACTGACGTTACTTGCATGGATGGCACGAGAAGAGTAGATCGTATGGTGTACCGATACCCAAACAGAGCAACTGGGTCATTGTGGCATGAGGAATATATCATAACCACTCAAGATGACGTAGATTCCATGCTCGAATTCTTGAGGTCCAACAAATTGGCCAAAGCCGAGATGTTCGTTTACACCGAGCCAGCCGTTAGTGTTGGAGGTCATTCTGGACACGGTCAAACATCTGGTATCCATGGTGGAGGTGAATTATATGACGATCATCCCTACCAAAGTTACCATGATCCTCATTCCTATTTTCAGTACCAAGATGGAGGGCAAGGTGCAGGCCATCATCAATCTTTCTCGTCATATGAAGAAGAAGTTCAACCGGACATCCCCAACCAAGCCCAGTACAACTTCTTGACAGGCAGCGGTAGTTTTCACAACTACCATTATGGAGCTGATGAAGGTGCCTTTCATGAGCAGGATCAGATGGAGGCTGCCACACAAGCACCAGTCAGCGACCCCTCTGATGAAGAAGGAGAGAACAACGTCAGTGCAGACAGCTCAGACCCTCTCGAAGGTGAGAATGATTCAGCACCAGATTCAGATTCAGATAATGCGCATGATGTGACTCCTGACCGTGTACCAGTCCCCTACTACAATCACATTCCAGACGACAATTGGATGGTCGACAGCGACATGGAGCCGCCAGAGGTCCCAATATGGGGCCCACTCACTGGGTTTACGAAGGGCCAACAATTTGGCTCGAAGAAGGATGTGCGGCACGCCCTTGAGACTGAAGCAATGACTCGGCATTTTGAATGGGACACAACTCATTCCAACACCAAAAGGCTCATAGTCAGACGTCGTAATCATCACGAGGGGTGCAATGTTAGGATTCGGGCAATCAACAGCAAGAGACACGACCACTGGGTCATATCCCGTGCGGTCAACACACACACATGTGTGTCATCCATAACTTCCCAAGGCCATCGA